ATAGGGAGAAAAATGCAGTGTGACCGCAGCTTTACTTTCAATACCGGACAAGGGACTAAACCAAACATAAGCTGTGGCTACACCGGACTTTTCTTCCCATAGACTTCCATTCATACGCACGTAAATGCGTCAGACCAGAAATGCAAGCTTGTGTGACAACCTACCCCTTTTTGCAGCGCTGTACTACAGAATTTCGCAAGCTCAAACTCTAGTGTGTGGCGTTAGAGGTATAAATACACAAAGACTAGTGGAACTGATAACACACAGGGGATGAATGCAGGTGAAACTAATGAACATCAAAAAACGAAGAATTACATGATCAGAACAGAAGTACATGGAAAAACAGGAGTACATGAAACACACTGGAAACTCACATGATGCAAACATATAAGCACTTGGAACACAACACAGAACCTGACAGTGACATTTTAAGCACTATTCTGAATTAGCTTGTCTGATGGTCATCATAACCACATTTTTTGTTTTACTATTTTAGCCAAAATAGTAGTCAAATCAATTTAATATGGGCCACTTTTGGTGCTTTACACCTTTTATTGGTCATATTTTGTGTCAAGAATAAGGTCCAAGATTTACAATAAAAGTTTCTTGTAAAACGTTTTCTCTATTTATAAACAATACAGTAGCGAAAAATGACGTCACTTATGGCAGATTGTATGTTTTCTTGCACAGCTGGATGTTAGACTCATGAAGAATATTTGTTAGCATTGACTAAAACTGATCAGCAGAAGTCACATCAAAGCGACAGCCAACAGAGGATTCCGCTTAGCCTTAAAGCCTTTTTTGATGAGTTATTATCACTATTTATGATGGCATAGCAGGTAAAATAGGACCAATAAGCCCATGTAAGGGACAAATTCTGAACTTTTGTCAGTGAGTGGTGGGTCTTCCAAACCACTTGAACCCCCCCTAGCAAAGGGCCTGTAAATGTATAATTTTTCAACTTAAAAGCAGCAACACATTTCTATACATGATTGTTTTAATAACTAATTTCTAATAACTTAACTAATTTATTTCGTCTTTGGCATGAAGACAGTACTTAATATTTTACTAGATATTTTTTCAGAAAACTAGTATTCAGTTTAAAATGGACATTTATAGGATTAACTAGGTTAATCCTAAGCTAATTAGGCAGGTTAGGATAACTAGGCAAATCACTTTATAATGATGGGTTATTCTGTAGCCAATCCAAAAAAAAAAAAAAAAGTATGGCTGAAGTGGGCTAATAATATTGACTTTAAAATGGTTATTAAAAAAATGTTTTTTTTTTTTCTAGCCATAATTAAAGAAATAAGACTTTCTCCAGAAGAAAAAAAATATTATAGAAAAATACTGTGAAAATTTCCTAGCTCGGTTAAACATACTTATTGGGAAATATTAAAAAAAGCAAAAACATTTCACAGGAGGGCGAATCATTATGACCTCAATAGTAAATATACTTATATAACTGTAACACAAATATTAGGATGTTGCACTAGCATTAAATGTACAGAAAACTAAACTTGAAATAATCTGCTACGGTCAGTTCCATTTGCCATATATATGCTAAATGAATTCTTGCATCCTAATTGTCATCCAGTGTGTATTTATGTACCCCATCCATTAAGACATTAAACACAAAATGGTGTTTTGAAAGGCTGGAGTCTGATAATGCAGGGGACTGATGGATTTAATGGCCAGCAGCATATTAAGAGTGAAAAGCTTTCGGCGCAGTGGCCATGACAACTGATTGTAATGCATTGTGTCATGTTGTCAGGGCTGCAATTACAGTGACGGTCTCACCCCGGGCCAAGAGGTTAGTGATTCCTTGCTAATTTAGTAAAAAGTGGCTCTCCGGCCTCGTGTGTATCTGATAAATTATTCCCCTGGACAGGCTCTGATGGAGGAAAAGCCAGAAGTTCACAATATGCGCTGCGTAGTTGAACCCTGGTGTGAATTAACATGGAAAACATGCAAATGAACTCACTATTAACTGATTTAGACATTTAATATCTACTTTTATGGCTAGCTTGTTAATGCATTTAGGCATTAACTGTTAAAAATTGTAATTTTATTTTTTAACCCTACCCTTTCCCCTTATCCTTTAAAACAGAGTGTGAAGGGGAGGGGCTTCAAATTTACCCCTAAGAAATGGGACAGCACTACAACACCTGCATACCATTATCATACGTTGTTGCAAGCTCATATGAGATCTACAACGGTAACTGCTGTAGTTATTCAGTTGCATTATTTTTTGGTATTTATCTTTAGGAAGTCACCGAAAGCAACAATATCATGTTATTATAATGATATAATGTGGCAGTAACCTTATAACTGTACTGTGTATTCACATCATGCCATATACATTTATGTAAACACAAAAAACAACAGTAACTTTATACCAGACACTGTTAAAAGGTCATTCCCAGCCTCTAGACTTTTCTGTAGGAGGTATTTGAGTGTCATCGAGTGACAGATGTGAAAATTGTGGGACTACTATACAGGAGTTGTTATCTTAGTTTATAGATGGTGAAATTTACAGGCATTTCTTTTTTTTTTAAATTGTTAAAAATTAGTAATAATGCCCAAAAAATATTTGAATTTGAATTTGTGCATCTCTTGACTCGCATGCACAGCCATATGTCCAGTATCCTGGGAAGTTTTCATACCCCTTGGTTTCGAGCCTGGTCCTGAAATCTCAGTTTCAAGGGCTATAGCCCTTCCCCTTAGCCCTATGTGTTCAAGCTAATTTCTCACAGAGGACTAACAGATTTATTTTAGTATGCAATGACCTTTGTAGAAAACTTTCTTCAGGCATCTGGGACTAGATTGTTGTGTCTTGGAGGTCTCACAGTAAAATATATATATATATATTTTTTTTTTTTTTGACAATCTTTTTTTTGTCAAGTCATTTTAATACGAGTGCTAACCTAATATACACGATAAATGTGGCAAATAAAATAAAGATTAAACACAACCCCAATTTCTTAGGCCTAACGTTTAATTTAAACACAAGGTTTTAGTTTTAGCTACAGGGTTGTTCACTCCAAAATAAAAAGTCCAAAAAATAAACTCACTCTTGCAGTTTTTTTTTAGATACCGTTTAAAATTTGGTTACAAGCTATATTCAAACATATGGGTTGTATGGGTTCTTTTCCGTAGGGGTATATTTATACACATTTCCAGAATTCAGTGAAAGTCTATCCAACCAAAATATAATGGTATAAACACTTAAGAGATCTTTGGAAGACTCAATCACATGATGAACATTAATTGATGACTTTTATTATCATATCAACTGACTAGCATACAAAGCATTACAAAATGAAAGTTTTGGTCAAAGAAACCCAAGCATGCTTGCTTGAAGCATGAGAACCAATGAGCTTCATTCTTACGTGTCACATGACACATTTGAGCTTTAGTTTGCTGAAGTAGTTGTACCTCTTCAGAACAAATAAATGGCACAATTCATATAGATTTTTTAAATATTTTTTAAAGCATTTCATTTTAATCTAAACAGACATTTCTGTTCCTCCACTAAAAGTCTAGTGAAGTGACAGAAATCTCTTAGATTTAATAATAGTAATAAAACAAGTAAACCCTGTGGTCTCTTTAAAGGCACAGAACTGTAGTTTACCCTAAAATTAAGATTTTCTTACTGTTTACTCACACTCCAGTGATTCAACATCTTTTTATTAATTTAATTCTTCCGTTAAACACAAAACAATACATTTTGAAGAATATTGGAAAAAAGCAATCACTGATACTCAACTGGTACAAAAAAATACCATGAACGTCAATGGCTGTTTTCCTTCCCAGCATTCTTCAGTATATCTTCCTTCGTGTTCCACAGAAGAAAGCAACTCAAACAGATTTGGACCAAGTGGAAGATGAATAAATGATCAATGAATTTTAATTTTAAGGTGAACTATCCCTTTAATATAAGAGCGACAGAAGCTGTGATCAGTTTATTTCTCCTCTGCACCTGTGTTTTCAGCATTCAGCCTTGTATGCATGCGGTGTGGCTCCTGATTGTGACAGATAAAGTTAATGGCCCATACAGGAGGTAACAGCTCCTCTCTGTTTTCACAAATAGGAGCTGTTTACAATGAGGTCGCTTGTCCTTGAGCTGATGCTCAGAGGAACCAAAACCACTGCTCAAAATGCACACCATGATATATTTTAGTTCATGTTAAAATAGCTTTAGAATAAGATGCATCTAAGAAGTTTATAGAAAGGCAAGATGAAGTTTAATCATGAAGGCCAAACAGTTCCTGTGAAAAAGGCATAAAAAGCCTCGTTCAATACCTGGTTTTAAAGGAAAAGTTCACCCAAAGTGGATATTATCATTATTTAATCACCCTTTACTTGTCAGACACCTGATTGAGTTTCTATCTTCCCTTGAACATAAAAGAAGATCTTTTGAAGAATGTTGAAAACCAGATGTTTTTCCTACTATGAATGTCAATGGTAATATATATATATATATATATATATATATATTGTATATAGAAGAAAGAACAGAACAGAAGAAAGAAACTCAATGTTTTGTAACTACTTGAGGGAGAGTAATTAGTATTTTTATGTTTTGGTGAACTGTCCCTTAGATTTTGGTCCATCACAAATACAAGTAGACAAAGAAACCAGCCTGATTTCACAAGGAAATGCAAGTATTTTTTGTTTTGTCACGTTTACGAGTTTAGTCGTTTGACAATGTACGATTTAAAAAAGGAAGCGTGGCACCCAACCCCACCCCTAACCCCAACCGTCGTTGGGTGATGAGCAAATCCTACAAAATTGTACAAATTAGATCGTATAAATTCTTACGAATTAGCCACTAAATCAAAACATTACGAATTGCCATGAGATTGAAGTAACGCATTATCATTTACTCTTGACATTCAAATCTATGTGTAAGTAAAAAAAAAAAACTTGATAACATGTGGAAACACAGCTGAAGTGTTTATTTGAAGTGTTTATTTGAAGTGTGTATTTGAGCTTACCTTACACAATGAATAGCCCTCGTAGAGATGAAACCTTCCTTGCATGAAGACACACGACTTGCCTTTTATTTGACCAAATACCAGACACCCTTCATGGCCAGGAACTATGAAAGAAACAAACATATGAGTGGACAAACAAGCTTACTGTCTTTTGTTGTGGCTGTTGTTCTGTTATTAAAGAATTATGTGCAATGACAAAAAAAAACGGCAACAAATTAAGAAACGATCTTTATCTGTTTGACAGCACACATGCTGCAAATCCTCAAAACGCAAACACATTTTTAAAAAGCATGCTTTTTTATTTTTACACAATAAAAGCAGTTATAAAATCTTCAAAAAACATTAAGGTCATAATTATTAGCCCCTTTAAGCTATATATTTTTTTAACCTAATTAACCTAGTTAAACCTTTAAATGTCACTTTAAGCTGTATAGAAGTGTCTTGACAAATATCTAGTAAAATATTCTGTACTGTCATCATGGCAAAGATCAAATAAATCGGTTATTAGAAATGAGTTTTTAAAACTGTTTGAGTAATTTACCCACAAAGCCATCATTCAGTCATAAGTGACGCATGATGTTGGGAAATCATTTTTAATCATTTCCTCTTATTATTAAAGTTTAAATGGTGCTATATATAATGTATAAACACTATTACATTACACTTATTATCACAAACTCTTTGCTTTAATGTGTTTTTAATGTTTGAAAAAAATAAAATGCAAAATTTTAAATATATATACAATATTGAGGTGTTAAGATTTTAATAGATAAGTAAATATGTCTAATTTTACATTCTTATTTGGTCACACTTAATCGCCAGGTAATAAGTGACTAGTTAATAGTAAAAATTGGTATTTAAACTAAAGCATTCTCTTAATATTTTTGGCATTTAAATTGTTGATGCACAGAAAGATAATTTAGTTAATGTCTTCTATTAGATATGTCCATTAGATACTTTACATTAGAGTTTTCATGAATGAACCCTCCCCCCAATAAACTCTTATGTTGATTATTATTTGTTGCTCTGTGATGTATGAATCGGTCAGGTTATAAAATGCAGTGTAATAGACTCTTAATCTGTCTTTACCTGATAAACAGCCTCCTACTTTTATGCTTTGCTCTCTCCCTAATATATGAAGTCTTCCTAAGGGGTTATTCTTCTAATGCATAACCTCTCAGTAATGAGTAAATAAAGCATCAGATGCTGTCACTGATAACAGATGCCAGCAAATCCTTTTTTTTTTTTCTTCTTCTCTGTATTATAACATCAGCTGAGTAATGATCGTCCCTGAGTCTCAGAGATCCTGCTGGCTTGGCTGTATTGATAAGTTCATCGATTTGCATTTGCATGTTCACTTTTTTGCTCATTCAACTTCAAAGTTGCTATCTGCTGTTTAGGGATGATGCTGGTGTCATAATAGATGGCATTAGTAAGACTGATTGTGTACCATTAGGGTACAAACAGGTGGAGCAAATATTGTTTTCTGAAATTATGAGCTGGTAGGAGGCTGCCGTTTGTTTGTGGCTTCAGGAACTTACTTTGACATGTGAACGGGCCAACTGAGCACAGTGAATGGGAGCTTATGTAAATGTAACCTTGAATTTTGGCTGATGAGATGCGTTTGGCCCTAAAACCTGCAGCGTAATGAGGTTCTGCTGGAATAATAGCTTTTTTTTTCAGGGGCCGATTCCTCTTTTCTTGCGTGAGCATTGACGAATGGCTCTGAGAAATAATAATAAAAAAAAAAAACTTACTGTGAGAGAGAGAGGGGAGGGGGTTATTACACTCACTGTGAAATGTATTTCCTCTAACATTGTAAAATTAAACGAGTAAATGAACATTTCGGGGCATGCAGCCTGGCCTTTATTGTTGCTGTTTTTATAAATTACATTGTCACAGAATTTGGAAAAACAACAAGTTTGAGGAAATGCCTGAGATTAATTTAGTAATGTTTAGTAATTTTAAATCTATTTACATATTATTATATACAATACTATACACTGTACACATTCAGAAATAAAGATTTTAAAATCTGTCACTGGGATGGTAAAGGGACACTTTTGTACCCTCAATAAATAAATAAATAAATATATATATATATATATATATATATATATATATATATATATATATATATATATATATATATATATATATATATATATATATATATATATATATATATATATATAGTTAATTAACAAAAATATATATATTTATAGTTAATTAACAATATATATGTGTATATATATGTATGTGTATATATATGTATGTATATGTATTGTTTTCAATTATCTATGCATGCTAACTAATTTATGTAGACATGATTTTATATTTTGACTTAATTTAACTCTAATTTATCTGTATATGAGTATATTGTCAATTCTGTAAATGTTTAATGTCTTAAACTGTCACTCATTCATGTGACATGAATTTTAAGACTCTCCTACATTTTTATATCAAACTATAGGGTGCTGTGATTGAATTCGGGTAGATTTGATTTTGATTTGACACTTGGTGATTTGCATGACTGATGCAATAGGCAATGTGGACAATTTATTATAAAAAAAGGAGCAGAGTCTTTCCGTAGTTCTCATTATTCAAGCTGTCAGTCATTTCTCTGTTGGTCCCCATAAATCGGCACATTTAAATTATGAAGTGGATTAGAAAAAGAATGACAACACAAATGGGTTTTAAGACCCTTATTAAACATTCCCTTAATTGCAAGTGCTCTTTTTTCTTTAGCCATCAGTCAAGTACACACACACACACGCACACACACACACACACACACACACACACACACACACACTCACACACTCACACAGACACTTACACATGCATACATACACACACATATACATACGCACACGCTCTTTACCTGCTAAAGGTAGTACAAATATCATTTGATGCATCTGAACACTTCTCAAGATTATTCACCTCACTGTATAAATATTTAAACCTGTCTAAGATATCATAGTATAAACTCCCTGTGGCAGATATTAGGGGCTATTTTTGTTCCAGTCATGATATTTTATTCATAGGCAGTACTTACTCATTTTGTAGCTCATATTACCAGGAACTGGGCATAATTTGTTAACCATACAATACTATGAGGGACAGAAAGAAAACCTCTGTGCTTTCAGATTCGCTCTGTGCATTAGCAACAACTCCTGTATCTGTCTAGTGGATTTTATTATAGACTCTACTCATACTGACTGAATGACCGTATTAACAAAAGAACATCCACTGATGTCATCATTTCCTTTATTACAGAAAATGCAAAGTTGAGTATTTTTAAACAGTGCTGCTATAGCATTGGACTGAGAAAAAAAAAAGAAATGACTAAAGAAAAAAAGACTAAAATAAAATAGGAAAGGACAAAAGAGACGATGAACAGACAACTAAGGATTGCACACTAAGTAAAAGAAAGCACTGGTAGATAAAAGACTTATAAGACAGAGACCAAAAAAGTGACAAAATAATGGACAAAAGGCATCAGTTAAAGGATAAAATAATTAAAAAGGAAAGAATAAATGAAAAAGTGACCAAGAAAGATAAAAAAGAGGAAAAAGAGAAAGAGGAAAAAAGGAAAACAGGCAGAAGAAAATGAGAGAAAGACAGACATGAAAGAAAAGAGAAAGGATCATTGAACTACTGAAAGAAAGAAGGATGAATGAAAGGGAGAAAGAGAAGGACAAACAAAAGAGAAAAGGAACACTCAAATGACTTGCTGCGTGTTTAAACTACTTATTTTAAACAACTCAATTGTTTTGTTCAATCCACTTAAATTTGCTAAATTAATTAAGTTAACTGAATCGATTTATGTTAGAACAACATGAAGGAATTGTGTGGAGCAATGAGGAAAAACAAAAGAGGGAAAGATGAAAAGAAAGAAAGGACGAATGAAAGCAAATGAAAGAAGACAAAAGAAGTGACAAGGATAGAATGATAAAGATGAAGACACAAAAATAAATGACACAGAATGAAAGCAAAGATAAGAAGGATGAAAATAGAAAATAGAGGCCAGAAGTAAGACGTTAAGATAAAAGAAAGGCCAAAAGAAAGAATTTAAAGTGAACGGTTTCTTTCATTTGTGTTAAATATTCTATTATGTAAATAAGTAAATAAAAAAAAAAAAAAATATATATATATATATATATATATACTGTATGTATATATATATATATATATATATATATATATGCAGTATTCTGTACCTGTGCTGACTGGGAAGTTGGGAATGTCTTCGTAGCGGAAGCTCTGTTTGTTGGGTACATTGTCAGCCAGGAGACCCAGTCCAGATCCACACACAACGGCGATCTTCGGCCTGTGTCTTGTCCTGCTCAGCAGCCATTCTGTGGTCAGTTTGCAGTCATCAAACGAGCAGCAGCTAATTTAAAGAAATAAACCATCATACATTACCACACTGATAACAGCTCAAATAGTTGATGTTTTAATGATCATCAACCCATTTTTCTGCTAATTTAACAATTTCAAAGTATTAATATAAATTCTTAAAGGGTATTTTAAATGTAAGAAATTGTGTTTCTGTGTGATATTTTAGTTATTTAATTAACTTTTAAATATTGGTGGTGTTTAATTTATCTATAGAAATATTTTTTGGAAAATTATAGTTTAGCTTGAGGAATATATGAGAGAATATGCACAACATATTATAAATAAGGTTTATGTGTCATACTATTTGCTAATTTTTTCCTATTTTAAGTATGCGTTAAATAACAATAAACAAGTTTGTGAGCCAATTTAGCATCTTACTTTAAGAATGTTATTTAGAGTAATTAAATGTCTTGCTTGGCACGGTGGTTAGCACTGTCGCCTCACAGCAAGAAGATTGCTGGTTCTATTTTCGTGGGTTTCCATCGGGTGCTCCGGTTTCGCCCACAGTCCAAAGACATGCATTATAGGTGAATTAAATTAACTAAATTCTCCATAGTGTATGAATGTGTGTATGAATGAGTGTATATGTTTGTTTTCCAGTACTTTGGCCGGAAGTGAAGCCGCTGTGTAAAACATTTGCTGGAATAGTTGGTGGTTCATTCAGCTGTGGCTAAGCCAAAAGAAAATAAATTAATAAATGGTCTGTGATCAGATATTGATAACGGAAATACAGAACAAACGTAAACGTTACATTCAGTAATACAGAACATTCCATAAGACATTACATAACATTACATAAGCATTCATTAAATACACTGATAAAATCAAACATGTAAGGTGCATCCCACATCGCATATCTATACACTATTTATACTACAAAATGGTGTAGAATAGTGTAAGCAGTGTGTTCACACTGAAAACTCTAAAAAGTGCACTTTAATTACCCGGATGATGCACTTATTCAATCGGTAAAATTAAGTGTGGAATGTTGGACTCGTTTAACGACCACAGCTTTGCTCAAATAGCGGAAGGGGCGGAGCTATCGGGTGGACATTTGGATTACTTTGTTTATTTTGATTGTGAAAGCAAAATTCTCCTATGAGAGTGATTTATACCGCCTCTCGTTGGTGAGTGCAGTTATACTCATGGCAGATGTTTTTTGGGAGTTTGGTAATTTATTTTACTTATTTAGTCAACTGTCAAACGTCATCTGCGAAATGGTTTGAATTTCCACTTAGTAAAAATAAGTTAGTGTTTCATTTGAGACGACACTATATAAACTATGCTGTTGAGTGTGTAAATGCATAAGTGCATAGTGTATAGCGTGCCATTTAGGACGCAGCTGTTGTAATATAATGGTGTATAAATATTTTCCTCTGGGAAATTGCAAGCAAACGTTACAAAAAGTAAAATGTGATTGCAATTTTGATGCATTTTCATCAACTGCTATGTAAAAATCTGCATTATTTTTATTACATCCCAAAATTCTTAAAAGCCGATATGAATATGTATCAGCATATAAAGCACAGTAAATTAGCTAATATTAATTAAACCTCTGAGAGAACTCTGGAAGGGAAAAAAATTACAGTGAAAATGAAAAAAAAAAAAAAAAAAAAAAAAAAAAATATATATATATATATATATATATATATATATATATATATATATATATATATATATATATAGATAGATAGATAGATAGATAGATAGATAGATATAGATATGTAGATAGATATGTAGATAGATATATAGATAAATATATAGATAGATATAAAATAAACGGACACTATTACAGCTTCTAAATAGAATGCAAAACCCCAAATTTTGTTTAGCTTAATCCTGCACCTTATTGTGACACTGTTGTGTTTGGTAGCCCTGGCACTTCCTAATTTTATTTAATGCATGACAAATCTTCCATGGGGTTAAAATCTGACCTTAAATCACAATCAAATTCAGTCTTTTAGCTCAGTAAACACATAAACATCAAAGAATGATCCAATGTCCATTATGTATAATATATCAAAAATATATGAAACTAAATATATAATTTTAGACATAAAACAGAACTTTACCATGCGTTTTCCTTTGTGTGCATGATCTCGGGTAATCACAGGCTGACAGCAGCACCTGGAAAAGTGTGTACTTGTCCTGTGAGAACAGATAAGAGAGGGAACGATAACCTCACAGAGGACTATAAAGGTCTCGTCTCATTGGCTGCAAAAATGGCAAGAGCAGGAAATCTCCATTTTCTTTCCAAGAAATGATATGACTCTGTCCCCTGAGAGTCAATGCAATTTACTCAAAATGCAGACAACCGTGTGAAGTAAGCTATTGTGCCGGCTATAATGAGTCATCTTTTATTGATATCTCCAGGTCACTTTTATAAAAAAAGATATTAAAAATGCTTTAGTGTTCACCATCATCAAGATGCAACTGATGCTACTGAATTGGAACAGTCAGTAAGACTGTGAATTTATTCTTAAAGTCATAGTTCGCTCATTTGAAGGGCACCTATGATGAAAAACAACTTCTGTAAGCCGTTTGGACAGAACTGTGTGTATGTATAGTGTGTCCACAGTTATAGTGGAGTGATAGAAACACAATAAGTCTCTTTTTTTAAAATTTCCTGACATTTAAATAGCCTCCAATTCCGTGTGACGTAGAAGTGCAGTTTTCCCGCCCATCGAAGTGACTGACAGATGCTATTAATGTGTCTCTGTAGTACCTTTCATAATCATATCCACAAGACAGGACATGCGCAAAGCAACCGGAATTAAAAGTTCTGTTGAGCGCACTATGATCATCAATCATTATCAAATGTTATCAAAAATGCGTTTTGCAAGTTCAAAACGTTTTTAAAATAGTGCATGTTTGTTATAAATACAATAAAATCACTACGTAATTCATCACCACAAGCGCATGATGTCAGTACATTTATAAAAGAAGATGCTTCAATCCTGATTTGTGATCTTAAGTTTGGTTTATTTTGTACATCAACATAAGCGATATCCATACAGCAGTGGATATTAATGTGTATCCTGTCACATTTGCTGTGCCGAAACAGTGTAAAGTTAAATGTGTGCGTGTGTGAGCGTGTGTGTAATGCTGAGTTCAGACTGCATGATTTTAGACCTGATTTTGACTCACCATCAGGTTTTGAAAAACCAGGTGAGCAAATATGTACATTTTCTACCTCATTAAAGGCTTCTTTCTCGTTACGTAGTTAATAACAAAAGATATACTACGTGTTTTTGTCTGTCACTGTTCTGTTTATCTACGTGAAGGCTGTGGCTCAGATGAGGGAACGGTGGGCAGGGAGAACTAGCTCAATCACATTAAATACCTTCTGAAATTTCTATCAAAAATGAACTTTTTTTTTTGTCGGTGCAATAGCCTATTGTTTAGCGCGTCGACATATGGTGATGTAGCCCGCCAGGACGTCCGGACTTAGAATTCCAGCTCGAGGACATCCCTGCCCCCCCCACATCTTCATGTCTTGTCTCAATACTGTCCTATGCAACAAAAGGCAAAAATTCCAAGATTTTTCTTAGCCTCCTTTGTTTATGTTGATACATTTTACTTCAAAGACTAAAGAACCAAGACCAGAAGAAGAAGACCAAGAAAAGGACATTTTTTATTTTATTTATTTTTTGCCACATATTACTGAACATACAAACAGGAGCCTGATAAAAATGCTCATTTTATGGGAAAATTTCAGATGACATTTAGAGGTTTTTGCATCTAAACTCTTCATATATTTCTACTGAATGAATAGAACTAACTTTTCTTTTTGTGTGTCTCTAAATATATTGTCTATTTACACCAGTTCATGCCAACTGTCCAAACAGTGACTTGTACTATGGTAAATATCAAACACTTTTACCTGTTTTTGCACTTTGCTGAGCTGGACGATTGCTGTATACATTATCGCCTCCAGCTTCAGGGTCCATTATAATTCTCTACAGCTCTTATACTGTGGCTTGGAAACAGATTGGCAGGCGCAGTATTGGAGAGGTGTGACTCTAAATCTAAATACATTAATGCATTTACAGCAGTGCCTGAAAAAAATCATTTCTCCTCAGATATATTGAGCTGATTCCAGGAATAGATACTCGCTGTGATGCAGAAAATAACCTAATCTAAACATTAGATGGTCAAAAATATAAACTGTATAATAAAAAAAGCAGTGAATGAATACATAAAATGTAAAGACATAGTGTTTTTTTGTTGTTTTTTGTTGAATGAACAAGCTCTGTGTCTGTGCTAGGGGTAAAAGGTAGTTTCTGTTAATGAATAACACACCCACATGTTAAATTATGTAACAGTTACAGTACATGATGTCCACATGAAGCACAGACTGACCAGCGGGGTCAAAAAGTGAATGGGTTACTCATTAATTCAGATTTGTTTTTTTTAGATGGTTCAATGTTTTTTCATGTGTATTAAGTACAGATTTTTATTATCATGATGAACCAAAATGAAACTGAACAGATTTTTTACTATATACTGTCTGCCTTTCTTTGTAAACCATGTCAACTCTTTATAAACAGCTCATGTAAATGCATGTCTTATATCTTTAACTACAGATCTTCAGATGTTTTTCTGTGCAACTTATCAAGTTCTGTACTCAGAAGGAAAATGATTTAATTTACACATGTAATATTGTCATCGTTAGCATTGATTGCTTTCTGTTTGGTAAATATTTGCAGCCTTGGTGACATACGGACAAACAAATAGATGGACAGATAAATGGACTGATGGATGAATGGACAGACACCGATGAATGGATGGATAGACAGGTGAACACATGAATGAATGAACAGACAGATAGATGGATGGATCAACAATGGATAGATGGATGGACAATAATTTATAAATAGAAAGAAATATGGATGGATTGATGGATGGATGGATGGATGGATGAAAAGTTGAATAGAAGTATGAAGGATGGAGGAATCAATGGACGGATGATTAAACAAAGAAAGATGGATGGATGGATGGATGGATGGATGGATGGAATGAGAGAAAAAGGGATCGACAGTAATTTGACAAAATAAACTGATAGACAGGCATGGATGGATGGATGGATGGATGGATGGATCACCAATGGATAGATGGATGGTCAAAAGGATGGACAGTTGGATTTATACAAGATGTATGAAAAGTTGAATAGATGAATGAAAGATGAAGGAATCAATAGATGGATGATTAGACAAAGAAAGATGGATGGATGGAAAGAAAGATGGATTGACAAAGTAAGGATAGACAGATAAATGGATAGATGGACAGATGCTTGGATGGACGGACGGATGGATGGATCAACAATGGATAGATGGATGGTCAAATGAATGGACAGTTGAATTTATACATAAAAGAAAAATTCAAAAGATCGATAAAAGATGAAGGAATCAATGGACAGATGAATAGACAAAGAAAGATGAATCATTGATTTGATGGAAAAAGATGGGCAGACAAAGTATGGACAGACAGTTGGATTTATACATAGAAAGAAGTATGGATGGATTGATAAAAAGTTCAGTAGATGAATGAAAGATGGAGGTCTAATCTGTCAATGGATGGATGATTAGACAGCAGGAAAGGATGGATGGATATGAAGAAAGATGGATTGACAAAGTATGCTTAGACTGATGGACGGATGGATGGATGGATGGATCAACAATGGAGGAATAGATGAACAGTTGGATTCATAGACAAAAAAGATGTATAAATGGAAATAAAGATGGATTGATGATGAATGGATGGATGGATAAAACAATGGATAGATGGAGGAATCAATAGACGGATAAACAGTCAGACAAACAGACAGTTGGATTCCTAGACAGAAAAAAGATGGAGTGATGGAAAGTAAGATGGATTGACGATAGATAGATAGATAGATAGATAGATAGATAGATAGATAGATAGATAGATAGATAGATAGATAGATAGATAGATAGATAGATAGATAGATAGATAGATAGATAGATAGATAGATAGATAGATAGATAGATAGATAGATAGATAGATGTGAGTGGATGGATGAATTATGCTCTGATTTGTTAAACACAATCAAAACCTGACAATCTCCATCAGGGCTGCTCTTGGACTGCTGTTGTGTTTGATGAGGCCTGCTGGGAGGAGGGGTGAGACTGACCATGACTGTTTGTCCAGACATACAGTCTGCCAGCTGTTTCACCAACACACACGTGCTGTCAGAGCAGTGGGGTCCCTTCAGTTAGCAAACAATCTTTCACCAACCCAACAGAGAGGAGGGTAAGCCTGTGATCAAGGTAAAAGGGCTTTTTGGGACGTGACAACTCATGTTATTGATTACTCGTGTGTTTAACAGATGATTTGGTGTGCATACAAGGCATTCTATCTGTTCAGTCATCAACATGTAGTTTATTTATTGATGCTTAACCTAGAATATTAGCTTATTAGCTTAACCCGATAAGGAAGCAGCAATATAAAAACACTAGAAACACCTAAAGACAGAAAATGCAAATGTTCCACACAAAACAAAAGAATATCTGAATAAGCATGAATCTCAAAACAATTTCACCCAACACTAACTTTCCTCCACGAGCTGTCAAAGTGAGTGACTCTTCTACCCTGCTGAGTGAACCACATTATTATTATTTTTTAAAGATTTCAGTAATGATGCATGTTATTTAATAACAATATATTACATCATGCTCCATCTATGCAGGGAAATGGAATCTCTTTTAAGCATTACTTATTTGCACTCCCATAAAAAACAAAGTCATAGTTTGAAACAACAAGAGCATGAAAAATGGTGACAACTTGAAACATGGAGCATTAATCTTTTGTGTTCTGTGCTGATTTGTGCATGTGATCCTGTCTGTGCTGTTGTGTCTTAGGAATGGAGCAGACTGTGTGCAGTCTATAGTGAATCACAGGACATGAACAAAAACAAAAAACAAAACAGACTTCATTCACTCCAATGGAAATCATATTTACACTATATGAATTATTCATCCCCACCTTAGTGTGAGTCTTTTACTCTGCTGTGTGTTCCTTTCCTCATGTTCTATGTGTCATCATAGAAAGAAGTAATTATGTGAACAAATGACTTATTTCAGGTGCAGTTTTAATTTGCTTGTATTGGGGAAGGAACACTTGAGATTC